TGTTAAATCCCCCACTCCTAAACCTTTCATCAGATATGTCACCTACTGTACGCATGCACTATGTCGTTGTGAGCATAGATACGCTCGCACAGACAGTCAAAAGCACAAATTACTTAGAAGAAGTTTAAACAGATGTTCGAGGAACTTACCACCCTCGCCGAGGGCCTCACGCAGCTCGGTAACATTGAGGTTCTTGCTCTTATCTTTATCCCTCTTTGTGAAAATGGCCTAGAATGGGAAATAGGGTGTTTTGATGGTTTTTGACAAGAAGGTTTTGAGAGGATATAGTAGTTCAGATATAAACTGTTATTGTTCTGTTGGCCGCCGTTCACCACCAATGCAACTGCTGTTGAAGAAATCTAACAACCTTGCCTCGTATGGGAGTGGATTATCAAATTTACATTGGAAGTGCTGATCGGCAAAAAAATGGAGTCCTAGTAAACCTACTTAATTATCTGAGAAGTTAATGTTGTTCCGATGACCAGCATTACTCCTTTAGATTGCCACCCCGGAACTCTCACCTTAAGAAATGTCAAATAATCAATTATATTATTTAAAGTTGGGCTTAAGCGACAATTTTTTAGGTAAGGGGCAAAATAAGGTTACTCATAGCACTACTCGACTGGTCATCAAACATTTTTGCCTCTGAGCTCAAAGGCAGGCTCCATACAAAGTAAGGCTTTAACTTCTAACTAGTCGATTATGGAGAGAAAACGAAAGAAGCCAATTCCAGTCCACCCTTTCTGCGCATGTTTTAATGACGGACATTTGATTGGCCGGTTTCCTGAGAGAGCACAAGTTTTAAGTTTCAAGAAAACGGTAAGCGAACCCATTCCTTTCTGTCTTTCAATCATTAAAAGACAACGCCTACTGGACGTAATGCAACTAACCCTCGAGGTAATTGAACCGAAAAAAAGAATAGTTCGACTTTAAAACGGACTAGAAGGATTTGATGCATCTATTTTTTCATTGCCCCTTAGGGGGCAATAGCGTATTAAGAATATTACATTTAACTTGCCTTCCAGTACTGACAGCATTCCCAGAGCTCCTTGAATTCGTTATATTCCATCTTACCAGTTAGATTATTCTGTTCGAAGGAGATTCGTTAAAGAAAACTGACATGCCACAACTTTACGTAAGGTCGAAAATCAATCTATTTCTTTTAATTTTTAATAGAAAACCTAAGAAAGCAAAGGAAGAAGAATTCCAAATATCGCTTGTCTCGAGCGATACACGAGTTTATTTGACCCAGTTTTTAAAGACTCGGAGCCGAATTTTTCACAAATTGGTCAGATGAAGTAGTAAAGTCTGCTTACACTCCCTTACTAATCACGAATTGTTAGCATGCGTCAGCAAGTCCTCTTAATAATGTCTACTTACAATTTGTCAGTAGAAAGTATTAACCTATTATGTAGTGGGATATGCACCGGAACAAGATTTCATTCGCATAAGCAGAAGCAAGCCGTGAGTTCATTCATTCTGAAATAATTCACGTGCTGTGCATCTCCCCTTCTTGATCGTCAGGCAGATCCAGAAACTTTAAGGTGCAAAAGCAAGAAGACATAATGCAACCAAAAAGGATACATCCTGCGCCGCCAACATGCTGCGCGCGTCCTCGATGGTGAAGCCCTTGGGATCCGTACATAAACCTTAAAAAGTAAGAAGAATACAGGGAGCTAAGGTCTCATACAGCAGAGATATACACACGCAAAAGTATTGAAAAAGATTGGAAACTTGTATATCAGGGCAAGGTATGAGGAGAAAATGCAAAAGCGTTTGTTTTATGCATGTTGAAAAAATGAAACTCAGCGAATGCCCCTTTTAGATTATTCCCCATCAGATAAATTCAATAAGTTCGTTACCTCCTATCACACAGGTTATAACATTCAACACCACAAATGCCTGAACAGAAACTATTTTGGCAGGATTCTTCCACAGCGTTTCGAGAGTGAGTACACAAAGCTAAATCAACCCTTTTCGACAGAGTCGTAACGGCCCAGGGAATAAGCGTACCATATGACTCCCAAAGTCTTCACGTTAGGCAATATTCTTAAACGAAAAGCAC